AAGGCAATATTATGTTTTTTGCGTACTTGCATATCAATATACACTCACTGGCCACTTAATTAGGTACGCCTTACAAGTACCGGGTTTTGCCTTTAGAACTGCCTTAATCAAGGCCATTTAAGGCTTAAGGCCATTTGAGTACAGTGAACTCATTGTCATGTTTAAGAAACCAGTCTGAGATGATTTATGTGTTATCCTGCTGGAAGTAGCCATCAGAGGATGGGTACACTGTGGTCATAAAGGAATGGACATGGTCAGACTCAGCAACAATAGGCTTTGACGTTGACACAATGCTCAATTGGTACTAATAGGCCCAAAGTGTGCAAATAAAAAATCCCTCACACTATTACACCACCAGCAGCAGCCTGAACAGTTTATAGAAGGCAGGATGGATCCATGCTTTCATGTTGTTGATGCCAAATTCTGACTCATCCATCCGGATGTCGCAGCAGAAATCGAGACTCATCAGACCAGGCAACATTTTTCCAATTTTCTATTGTCCAACATAACAGGACTGGCACCCAGTGTTGTATTCTGCTGCTGTAACCCATCTGTCTCAAGGTTCAATAGGTTGTGCGTTCAGAGAGATGCTCTTCTGCATACCTCAATTATAACGAGTGGTTATTTGAATTACTGTTGCTATCAGCTTGAACCAGTTTGGCCATTCTCCTCTGACCTTTGGCATTAACAAGACATTTGCACCCAGAAAACCGCCACTCACTGCATATTTTCTCTTTTTTGGACCATTTTCTGTAAACCTTAGAGATGGTTGTGTGTGAAAATCCCAGTAGATCAGCAGTTTCTGAAATACTCAGGCCAACCCACCAGGCATCAACAACCATGCCACTTTCAAAGTCAAAATCACCCTCCTTCCCCATTCTGATGCTCGGTTGGAACTGTAGCAGATGTCTTGACCATATGTCTACATGGTTGTTGCTAAATCAGATATGGTTGTGGCTGGAGGTTAACGAGAATAATTAATTTGTATTATTTATAAAACTTATTCATCTTATTTTATTAATGTCTACCTCCACCTAAACCCAACTGTCACAGCACTGTAATAATAGTAGTTGTACAGAGTATTATTTATGCTACCATTAAATTACCCAATAAGTTGTATTTTTTAACTCTTACCCCACACCCAACCCTAAACCCAACTGTCACAGTACTGTAAAATATACATTATTATTAAACAATGTTATTGAAAAATGCTGCTATATTAATGTGCAATTCGCACTTCTTGCCGGCTGCGTATCCGATCTGTACTTTACCAGTCTACATGCCTAAACGCATTGAGTTGCTGCCATATGATTGGCTGATTAGAAATTTGCGTTAATGAGCAGTTGGACTGGTGTACCAAATAAAGTGCCTGGTGAGCGCACAGTACAATATTCTGCACAAACGCACATGATGTCTAATGCTTGTATATGCATATCCAAAACAAACTATTGTGTCGTGTGTGCAAATATAGACTCAAATACAGCAATTTCATTGGCTGTTGGTCTTGTTGACATGGTCAAGCTGTGTGTTGACAAGATTAAATGCACACATGTGCTTTTGGATGCTATAGTCTTCCATAGTAAATAAAATACATTATTTAGTTCCGTCTGTGCAGATGTTTTAGACTCACTGCTCTTGTCACATAGAAACTGTCATCATCACAGAAATGATCCTGTACAGGCCATTTCACACTGAGGCAAATAACAAAATGGAATAGCACAACAGCTCACTGTAGCAAGAACAATAATGGGTGAGAAAACATTCTTTTTAAAGGGCACATATTTTACTCCTTTTTTAAGATTTAAGGTGAGTCTTTTTGTGTCTGGTTTCAGCTCAAAACACCCATCAGATTGTTTATTAGAACATTGGGATTTTCTGCTCTAAACACAATTTAGCTGTTTTTTTTGCCTGTGCCTTTAATGCTGTTTCTCCCCACCCACTATTCCCATGTGCCTGTCAAAGTGTGCCTCAGTCTCTGCCTCGGCTGCGTCAGATAAACAGCATAGTGACAGACATGAAGGAAGCAGATCTCATTTGTGAGTTTTGTGAGCAATATAGTAAGATCTTTACTAATGATTATTTGATGTATTTGTTCAAGCCTTTCTGCGACGAGTCACAGACAATGTCATTACAAAGTTCACGCGCACACACACAGGACGCATTTAACTCGACAGCAAATGTGACAGGATACATGTTAACATCCACTGCTGTATGGATATCTGTTATCTTAATGTACAAAATAAACCTGATTTAATGTCCACAAACAGGAATTGAATTGTCATATTTTAATAATTTCACTGACATGAGGCTGTGGTGATAAAGACAGTAAAGTAGCTGTAATTCATTACAAACATGCACTGTTTTAAAAACGTTTTAAACTTGTGAAACTCATTCTTGATCACATTTGATGATGATTGATGATCCCAGAGAGCTGAATAGATCTTTTAATCCCGGTTGCTTTGTGCACGTCTTGTTTTGTTGCAGCCTGATCTCACGAGGAAACGCAAGTATTTTACGATTTGTGAGTTTAGTGGCTAATTTGTACAAACTTGTACGAAAATATATGATTTTAAAAAGAAGGCGTGGCACCCCACCCCTAACCCCAACCATCACTGGGTGATGAGCAAATCGTACAAAATTGTACGAATTAGATAGTACAAATTCATACGAATTATATAAGTTAGGTATTGCCTTGGGATTGCGTTGCTTGTTGATATGATTAAATGCGTTACTTTGGAGATTTGTTAATACGCGGCTGTCAATCAATGGCGAGGGTGGAGAAATCTGCACTCATACGTCACGTTGCGGTGGGCCTCAAAATCAAAGATGGATTTTAATCCTATTTTAACATCAGGAAATGAAAAAAAAATAGACTTTGTCTTTATATCACTCCAACATGACTGTGGACACACTATGACTATACCCACACTCAGTTCTGTCCAAACAGCTTCCAAAAGATGTTTTCATCATAAGTTGCCCTGTAATGTTTTTTTCATCTGTCAGTTAGAATCCATTTAGCTTTTTATCGATATAAAAATATAAAAAAGCTAATTGTGACTTATTTCACAAATCTGATGTTATTTCTTACAGTTCAAAAAGTTGATAAAATTGTGAAAATTCAAAAAGAGCCACATATTGATAATGTTATGATAACAGTTTTAACATGAGGTTACTATTGAATTGCCTCTTGTTACAGTTATGAAATAGTTTGATAACAAGTAGGAAAAGTTCTAGTGACCACATTAAAATGGTCTAACAAAATTCTAAACCACTGGTGTGAACACTGATATGGTTACAGTTATTGTTAATAAAAATAAGTGTGTATATATATATATATATATATATATATATATATATATATATATATATATATTTTTTTTTTTTTTTTTATTTATTTTTTTTATTTAATTTTTTTTAATTTGCTTGTTTATTTTACAGGGACAATACACTTGACATTGTTATACAAAGATAACCGATGTTGTGTACATAGGGCATATAGCATAAAGCTAATTTACAGCCCTAGTCCCAGGTTAGGCTTTACAAAAAATAAATAAATAAATAAATAATAATAAATATATATATATATATATATATATATATATATATATATATATATATATATATATATATATATATATATATATATATATATATATATATATATATATGTGCGTGTGTGTGTATATGAACAGGCCTTTTCTCTTTTTATATTTCAAGCATTGTATGTATTCATCTTGCTGTTTCTCTGGACATCTTAGTTCTGGTTGTACCGGTTGCAGTCAGAAAATGCCACAAATGCCAAAAAGATGACCGGAGCTTGAGGAATGTCTTTCAGGCTTGAGCATTTCTTTCTCAAGACCAATATGTAGACAGCAAATTGCATAATATTTCTCTTAAGGAAATTGCATTTAATTTATCTAAATAATCTCTGTGAAGTTTCAATCTGAATTTAAACTCTTTCATAGCACTGAGATGGCTCTGATATGGTTTATGAATGAGCTTTTAAAGTATTCTAACTGCATCTGTGTTGATCCTGTGTTGCTGGATTTATTGATACATTTTCTGACCCTGTCTTTCTTGCTTGGAGCACATTGTGGGCTCACAGGGAACAGTTTTGTACTGGTTCAGGTCTCATTCATTAGATCGGTTTTCTCAGTTTTATTTGAGGATTAAGGATCATCTATAGCTGAACCATGGAGTTTCACAGGGTTAAATTGTTGGTCCTTTTCAGTTTTTCCTTTACATATTCTCAGGAATTAAAAACCTTCTTTTCATATTTATGCTGTTGACATTTAGATTTATTTGTCGTATTTGAGCGAAGCAAAAACTTATATCCTTTCTTCCTTTCTCTCTTTGATTTGGAAAAAGTGGTCCATGCTTTTATTTTCTTCTCCTTTGAACTCTGTAATGCTCTGGTGGCTCAAAGTCAGCTAAGTCAAGACTTCAGCTGATCCAAAATGTGACTGGTTACTTTTTAACTGGCGTATCCCTCAAAGTGGAACTGGGGAAAAGGGGGGAGGGGGCAAATAATTCTGACTTCAACTGCATATTTTTAGTACAGCAGAACTTATTATAGTAGTTTTTTTGTTATAGTAATAATAGTATTATAGTAGGCGCTTTGTAGCTTTGCAAGAAAGCATGTTAAAATAAACATTACCTTACCTTATACCTCAGCCCTGATACAGATCATACATTGCTAAAAAAAAAAAAAGCTGATCTTTTACACCTAAGCATTGTTTATTCAGATTGTTCAACTGACAGTGATGTTAAATCATGTATTCCCATCAACCTGTCACTTAGAAGCAGATGATTTGATAAGAAAGAGTGGTATTCTTCAGTCAGGTAGTTCATCGATTTCAGTTTTTTTTTTTTAACCTAGGAAAACAAAGTATAATTATTTGTATTATTTTAATTACAGGATAGATTATCTTGTTAGTTTGATGGAGTAGTTTTTTTCCACAAATTCATATTTATATCAAACAAAGCTGTTTAAAGTCATATAATCGTTAATTTGTTGCATTTTATTAAAGATAAATTCAGTCTTTCTCTATTTATACAAGTATGAATAAATGTATCAGTATCACAGTGTCATGTATGCAAATTATGATTAAGCAGCATTATCACAGATCAATTACACTATTGTGGAAAAACAAAAGCATTGGTTGTATGTTGGTAGCTAACATTTAAATATATTGTGTGTGTTTAATGTATCTTATAATAAGAATAGTAAAATTAAGTTTTGAAAAGATGCTTTATTGGGGAAAACACATACTAATAAATCGTCCTGAACAAACACATTCCAGTTGCACTGTAAGAATGCTGACTGGAATGAGTCCACTCCCTTAAAACACGTCTGTCACTCCCCGTCTGTGACTGTCACTCCCATGTACAAGCCCAAGAGAGAATGTGGTGTCTCCAGAACAAATAGGACAACTCATCACTTATGTTCTGGAGTGACAGGTGCAAAAATTCTTTAAAAAACAGCAACAAATAGCATAGCTCAGTTTGCACTCTAATATTGCATAAATAAGTTTTCTGCTCTGCAAAAAAACGTAAAATCAATTGAATTATGACAGATCGGATTTTTTTTAAATTAAAAAATATATTGTAACATTTGAAATATCTTCCAAATGACATCACTGCTCTGCCTTATGCAGGACATTCACTCTGTGCATCCCTTTTCTCATCTTTCATATTATTTGCATGGTATTTCATCTGCTTTAGGTATTAAGCTCTTGTTGAATCCTCGATGCCCCTGGCGAAGAGCCGCACCAGCTGACCGTGTATTCTGTGAAAAGAAGGAAAACATTCAAATGAAGAACATGTAAAGGTTTTGGTTTGAAACGCATAATCATTTATGATATTGATATCATTAACTATGATCTGCTCGTATCACTAGCCAAATCATTAAGCAAATGCTAAACCTATCAAAAGTTTGTGGTCGGTGGAGTGTTTTGCTTGATTTTTGTTTAAAGAAGTCTTTTATGAAGGATGATATCTATAATGAAAGTGTATTTTTTAGAATGGTTGTAAATGTTTTAAGAACACTATCGAACAACATCACTTAATTTGTTTTGTTCAAATGAAAAATGATGAAAAAAAGTTACAGTATCAGAATCCAACTTGAGCAGAAAACTACAAATCTGAAGTTTGTGCTTTTTAATCAAAAGAAATGGAGTCCAGTATAATTAGTTTATTATGGAACCAGATCAGATATAATACAAAATAAAAAAACAATTTGTAAATTCAAAACACAATTCTTAAATACAACACAATTTGTGAGTTCACAAGTTAAAATCATAAATATTTTTGCCAAATGAATTGAATTTGTTATGAACGTATTTAGGACTTACAAATCAAATTTGTTAATTTTTTGATTGCGTTTGAAATTAACAAATTGGATTTGTTTGTTTTTTAATTGTTTTGAATTTTTAAATCGAATTTGTGTATTTTTTTTAAATTGTTTTGGATTTACGAGTTGGATTTGTGTATTTTTGAATCGTGTTTTGGATTTCCAAATCGAATTTGTGTATTTTTGAATTGTGTTTTGGATTTACGAGTTGGATTTGTGTGTTTTTGAATCGTGTTTTGGATTTACGAATTGGATTTGTGTATTTGAATCGTGTTTTGGATTTACGAGTTGGATTTGTGTATTTTTGAATCATGTTTTGGATTTATAAATTGGATTTGTGTATTTATGTATCATGTTTTGGATTAACAAGTTTGATTTGTGTATTTTTGAATCATGTTTTGGATTTACGAGTTGAATTTGTGTGTTTTTAAATCATGTTTTAAATTCACCAATTGGATTTGTGTATTTTTGAATCGTGTTTTGAAGTTACGAATTGGTTTTGTGTATTTATGAATGGTATTTTGAACTTACAAATTGGATATGTATTTTTGAATCGTGTTTTTAGTTTACGAATTGGATTTGTGTGTTTTTAAATTGTGTTTTGAATTTACAAATTGGACTTCTTTGATAATGAATTGTGTTTTGAACTTCCAAATTGGATTTGTGTATGTATAAATTCTGTTTTGAACTTACGAAGTGGATTTTTGTATTTTTGAATCGTGTTTTGGATTTGCGACTTAGATTTTTGTATTTACAAATAGTGTTTTGAACATACAAATTGAATTTTGTTAATGTGATGTGTTATAGATGTATAAATTACATTTTGTAAATGCATTATTTTTGAGACTGATCTGGCTCCATTGTTTTTCCTCAATTTTTATTTTATCCGTATTTTTTCTTCATTCCAGTTTAATGAATGAAAAATACGTAATCGAAAAGAATGAAGCATGACTGCCAGAGCAGCTTTGCAGATTTAATTTATGTGTTCATGTCCAGATATAGTGAAATGACACGCATACTTCATATTTAAGTCTCTTTTTGTGGTTTGATATTCATAAGCATTTTACCATTTCATCAATGTATTTTTGCATGGTATCGATGTTATTGCACATTGGCGCTGGATAATTATATATTTATTTTTAGAGTTATGATTTTTTTTTGGTGTGGTACTATGTTTAAATGGCTTGTTTAGTGTACTATGACTTTTTTGGACATGTTGGCTATGACTTTTCCAACTGATTATCTCTGAACTGACCATGAGACAATACCTGCAAGAGATCTCAGTCTGAGGCAGAATTTCTCCATCACAGTTCCACACTGATACTGAGCGAGGTTTAGTACAGCAGGGCCCGCACACAAAGCCTGGTCTCTTTAATCTACTGGTTGAAGTTGCTTTCTCTTTCTGACCCGTGAGATGCTGCTGTGAATGACCTGCAATGTTATTACTGCAGAGTTTCCCAGGATCCTCCAGTACTCTCTCAGCGGAGCTCTGAATTTTCTCTTCCTCCTCCTCAAAGTCCTCTTCTTCTCCAGGTGGTAGAGAAAACCGAACTGCCTTGACACGATGGACTTCAACAAATGGCAGGTCAAACTGAAATTGTAATTTAGAGATGGATCAGACTTTGTTTCTGACTGATTCGAGAGTTTCATTGTAAATCTTTTGGTTTTACCTGATCCTGTTTGTTTGTGTGCCTGTGCAGGTATGTGAGAAAGCTTAGAGGGTTAGTGTCTCGCACAAGGATGAGGTCTGCTGTTCCATCGGCCAAGTGAGCGGATGGCGAAAGACCCTTTGGGCTTCGTGGACATGAGCTTGACACACACGTAAGAGAGATGCACTTGAATGTGCCTTCAACAGTCACCCATTCACCTGAGATAAAACATTGTATTAAGATGCTAAATACAGAAAGTAAACAGAAAATGGAGTCTAAAACATTCTGCATGTTCACTTTTAAACACTTCCAGAGGTTCATCTTTTATGTGTAGAAAAAAAAAACTAATTTACGTATACACACACCGGATCCACTGTGTAAAACATATGCCAGAGTAGTTGGCGGTTCGTTCCGCTGTGGCAACCCCTGATAAATCAGGGACTAAGCAGAAGGTATACTGAGTATTACAAATAAATGGTACTTTATTGGCAACAATGGTTCCATGAAGATCTTATAACATCTATGGAATCCTTTTTTTCCCCTACTGTCAAGCTAGGGTGCGTTTCCAACAGCCATCGTTAGCCAACTGTGGTCGCAAGTTTCGTTATTGCAAACATAAATTGTTGATTTGGTGTTTCCCAAATCCATCGTTCCAAGAAACATTCGCAAACTGCATTGCAAAATTGTATGATTGCAACTACACCTCTGGAGCTGTAGTTAGAAACATAGTTTCTGGCTGTGTTCTATTCCCAGTTATCCCCCAATGCCCTAATCATTTAGCACATTCTTACATTTATACTTGGAATTAATAAAAAACAAAATCATTAAAGTCATAACTCTTGGGTGTAATTTGCCTTCAAAGTATTTTTACAATTCAGTTTTAGCGATCTTCATGTTTACAATTGCGCTCCCTTCGCAGTGCACTTTAAAAACATTGATGTCATTTTGAACACAACTGTGGCTCATGACGAAAGCTATAGGTGACCTATTATTTAAAAGCGGAATTTGTTACGTCTCTTGTAAAAACAAAAAAAAAAAACACAGCATACGTTAATGCTTTTAATTTATAGTGGATTATTTATTAAAGGGCACCTAGGTTACCCCTCTTTTCAGATTTAATATGTGTTTTGCATCTCCAGAATGTGTATGTAAAGTTTCAGCTCAAAACACCCATCACATTTTTCATTATACTTTTTACAAGATTCTCTTTTATAAATTTTTACCAGGGGGCTGTTTTGTCAAACTGCGCCTTCAAGGCTAGTCCTCCCCACCCATCGTTTCTACGTGCATTTCTGCGTCTCCTCCCTCGGCTGCATCAGACAACAAACAGACTTAAAGGAAGAAGACCTCACATAGCGTTTGTGAGAAACACTACAGTAAGAACTTTACCAATGAGCATTTGTTGTGAAGATGCATCAATGAGTCACACACAATGTCAATGTACAAAGTTCTCTCTCTCACACACGCACACGGACAGACAGACAGATAGCGTTTAGCTTTTTGCACGCAAATGTGATAGAATACAGCTTAATCTCCACTGCGGTGTGGATATCTGTTATGTTAATGTAGAAAATAAAACTGATTTATCATCCACAAACCGGGATTGAAGCGTCTTCCTTTATAATTTTTCTGACAAGCGGCTGTGCTGAAGTAAATCACTGTACTTCATGACACACGTGCACTATTTTAAAACATTTTAAACATGTGAAACTTACTCTTGATCGCATTTGATGATGATTGATGATCCTAGCAAACTGAACAGACCTTTTATTCCTGGTTGCTTTCAGCACCTCTGGTCGTGTTTGTATGATTATACACAAGACTACCAGGACATGTTACAACGCAAAGCTGTCAATCAATTCGGTGGGCGGGAGGACCCCACTCCTATGTCAAGTTGCGGTCGGTCTGAAAACTGCTCTAATTGATTCACCGTTTTTATGTTGTTAAATTGAAAGAGGAAAAAGGACCAAGTGTGTTTATATCACCCCAATATGACGGTCTATACACTATATCTACACATGTCTGTCCAAACAGCTTGAAAAGTAGATTTTTCACCATAGGTGCCCTTTAAGTATCTGTACTGTATATGACATGGGCCTGTTGGTTAGAACATTTCTACACTGGTTTGCATGTGTCACATTGTAAAAGTAGACTTTTAAATAATAATAATAATAAATAAACAATATCCTACTTTATAATAATCATCATCAATAATATTTTTTGTTAAAGTAGGATTTTTTCTTAATAAATTTCCTAATAAATAATAATCATAAAATTTAATTTCTTTATAAATAACCTCATTATATATATATATTAGAATGTGTTAGCTTTTGTATGTAATTTTTTTGTTTTAGAATAGAATATGGAATATTCTCAATGATATTTGTAAAGGAAACACAGGCCTTTTATGTTTTTACCAAAACTAATATTGGATTTTTTTGTAAATGCGTGTGCGTGTAAAACAGTATTTGCACAAAGAAATTATGGGGTTCTTCTCATAATGGAAAATCGTCTTTTAATTCTGCAAAAATGTTCTTTACAGTTGAAAAGGATTATTTAAATTATGAATATGTTCTCCACATTATAAAACAATGTTTTTTTTCTGGTGCCTTTATTTTTGGAGTTTAGAGTTAATGATCATGTCAAATGCATTTGAACAGCTAAAAAGACCAACTACTCTTCATCTACTGATGAACAACATCACTCCTCAACACATGATGAACAAGTACATTTAGAATCATAGTTTCCTTCCATAACCTTCTAATGTGAGATACAATAAACACCAGAGAAAAAATGGAAAAACAATGCATGTTAATACCAGGTGGAGACAGCAATACATCTTAATAGGCTGTGATCAAATCATAGGAAAAATGTATGATGGAAACTGGGCCTTCGGTGCTAACATGACAACCGTCATATAAAAACATACAACATATGAGGCCTACTGAGGCACATAGCACATTGGGATCCCAGTAATGGGGTCTCTGATGAAATGACACAGGCAGTAATTATACAGACAGGGAGCGGATGGTCTTACCCTCTAACTCTGTGCTGTATTGGCTCACATTAGAGCTGTAGAGGGAGGTGGAGCTGTCAAAGTGGGGAAACAGCCGCTCTTTGCTCTCTGAACACACTCGGCATCTGTACATATACATACAAACATACTTATTTAGAATAATAATTATTTATAAAAAATAAATATATATTAGTTAAGTATATTATTTTTAATATTATTATATAAATTTACTTATTTTCATTTACTGACATGTTTTATATTTATTACATAAGGTTACTAATTAATTTGGTCAGACTTTATTTAAAGGTTCAATTCTCGCTATTAATAAACCATTAACTATGAGTTTTGCCTCAAGCAACTCCTAATTTGCTGCTTATTAATAGTTAAAATAACAGTATGGGATGTGGAATCTGCATATTAAGTACAAATAAGCAGCCAAAATCTTAAAAATAGCCAGGTAGAGTAACAAGCCATTAGTTAATAGTGAAAATTGGTGCTTAAACTAATGTGTTATCATTAATTTTTAATTGTGAGTGTGTGTGCGTGTATATATACAATTTCATAATAATATAAGTATAATTTGATTAAACAAAAACATAGCAATATGTTGTACTTTTTTTTTTTTTAATAAATGTAGTCTAGCACTTAGGGAAAAAGGTGCGAGTACCCCGGAGTGCATTACATATTTCATCATTACAACATGCATGCATTGTGGTTCTCTTGTAAAAGCACGTCAGGCATCCATGTGGAAGTAAAGATATGTATTAAATAAACTTGTACATTTTTGCCGCATAAATTATTATTATCATATTAAACCACATACATTACTTGTACCATACAGATTACTTTAAAGACTACTTTTGGATTAATTTTACATAGGCTGTTTCTCATTTCTTAGAACGCAGAGAACAAACTTGCGCTCTTGTAAAGACCGGTCTTGCCAGGTGTCCTCGGAAGAACGAACTCAGGAGACTGCGAGGGCAGAGAACGCGTCCTGTGAGAAATGAGATGCTGCGTTCTTACTGATGGTCACGCGACCTTCACGCGTTTTAAATGGCAAATTATTTAAACAGTGCAGCAATTATAAAACGATTTATTGTTTTCCCCCTTTTCAAAATATATACTATGCATAAAAGCATTGAAGCTTTTGGGTGAACAAAGTTTCAGTGGAGGGGCAGAAATGTATGTGTTATTACTGTTATAACTGAAAGAATAACACATTGTTGTACACCAAAATTAGGCTGATATATCATGGAATATTCCTTTAGGTTAGCTGTCTTTGCTTTTTCTTTTAGCACTTCAGCAGCTTCTTTTCCTCCATTAGAGATAATATTGCTTAAAAACAGCCCCACAGGCATATTCCCACATGTGTTATGTTGATGAGGGAACTGCTTACAACACTTCATTCCCTAAAGATCAGATCATAGAGATGCAAAGAACCAAGAACCCAGCCAAATACACTCAACAAATCCATGCTTACTGTTACAGTATCAGTGTGAACTCTGCCACCAGCATAGCAACTATATCAGCCATTTCTGTGGGATTGGTTTCTGTGTATGTACCTTTAGTCATATCTTTTCCGATTTCTCAGAATTTTGAAGTGTTGTTTTATTTTTAGCCACCCAAGTTAAACCAAGGTCACAGACAGAACAGGAATTACTGACCATACAAATTGAACTATTTGTATTATAGCTTATATATATCAAAGCCATCCACTTATATCTAAACAAAATGCTTCTGATGTAATATTGAGGTAAAAAGATTACAGCATATGTTTACCCTGAGAGACAGCGAGTGTTGTCCCGTGGGCTGGAGATTTGGGAATCAGAAGGGAGATATTGCACTAGTCCCGAATAGCTTCTGTTACACATGTAAACCATACAACCTACAATGAAAACAAACATATATGGAAATAAATGAGCACAAAGAATGTATTAGATTTATGCGAAGGATCGAGAGTTAACATATTACATCCCTATAGTGTTTTCTATAACCCTATTAGAGAATGGAGTGTTAAACTATCTTTTTCGACTGATTTAAAGACACATGTCCATCATACCTGCATAATCATATCGGAGAGGGCCCATCCAGCGGTGCCTCTCACTCTCTTCCAGAACATCGCCATAAAAACCATAGCCCACCAGTGAAACGGAATAACGCACCACTGTGGACTGATCATGAACAGAACACACATCCAGAGGCTGAGAGTCTCCTGAAGAGTGAAACAAGGAAAAATGAAAGCTATTTAATGCAGTTTATAACAAGCTATTATTTTTGTGTTGAATGAGATGCATACGTGTATAGTACATTTTCTAAATGCAGATAGCTTTAGCCTAACTTTAAATACATTTGTTTATGTTTGTTGTTTATAGTGAATGTGATTTATAATTGGTTTGTTTAATTTGATTTTAACAATTTGTTGTGTAGAAATTTTGACTTGATGCAACTTCTATTCATCATTCAGGTTTAACATTTTTTTTTAATGTAATATTGCTGTTTTTTAAACAAATCTCATTCATTAAGATTTTAAAAGTTCAGATCTTTTTTTTTTTCTATTTTCTATTATATTTTGTTGTACAATGGCACACTATATTTCTTAAACATGTTTTGTATATTTTTAAAAAGTTCCAAGAAATAAATTTAAAGAAATTAAACTGTCCAGACATTAGACACAATGGCATTGTCTTAAAAATAAGTTATGAAAGTTCTGCATAAAGTTGACCAGTGGTGGGAAGAGTACTGAAAAATCATACTCAAGTAAAAATACCATTACTTGCCCAAAATGTAGTGCAAGTATCTGTTGTAAATATTACTAAAAGTATGAGTACAAAGTAGCCCGTTAAATAGTACTCGTGAGTATTATCAAAGAGTATAGAATACACAAGACGTCTCACTCATATACTTTTGAATGGTGAAAAATGTAACAGTCAGTATGGGGAATGAAGCCCAGCCTTCTAGTACAGGAGCCAATCAGGGATTGCTATATAGCAAATAAAGCCCGCCTTCTTGTACAGGAGTCAATCAGCGATCGCTGTAAAATGACAATTCTTGGAGGGAGGGGCTTGGACTAGGCATGAGTTTCTGCAGATTTTGTGTGATACGAACATTTAGAAATGAAACTAAATAGACAGTTGTTGTAATTTTATTGGTTATTCATATTGTTTAATGTAATCTTAATCTTGGCAAGTAGTTTTGGAGAATTTGATGTTTCCGCATTCAAACAGAATGCCCGAGCATACTGCCCAAGAGGCATTTCAAAGATGGTCGACGAGTAAAATGACTTGCCTTCAAAGGACTTTGGTTTTACGCTGTAAAAAGCTGATGCATTTACATGTATTTTAGGCATGTGTGTAAACCTAACATTCTGTTGTGCATTTAGTTATTGTTTCATATGTTCACACTTAGATATTGCTTTTAGCAGGTTTAACATGCTGTTACGGGAGAGACCCCTGAGCTCAGGGCTCCCACCTGGTCAGTTAGCATGTAAGGAGGTCCGAGATCAGATAGTTCTCAAGAGCTCCCCCTGGTAAAGCAGGAAAAGAAGGAGATGGGGTGGAAGGGGGGATTCTTCCAAAACGACAAAGGCAGTAGGGTAAAATCGGTCTATTTATTGTAGACTTGGATCAATCTGATTGGATTATTACTGATTACGGATGAGGGACTAGCCGTGATCAATCATATCACATGCTGCTCTCGAAATTAGTTTGTAAAACTTCACTTAAGTCATCAGTCATCATACAGTTGACATCTCATCAGTGACATGCAGTCTAATCAGTCTCTTGGTCATTATGTGTACATATTTTGGACTTCTTCTTGGACACTTTTAATGCTTCCAAACAGTTTGTTGCATTCATAAATAGCCCATGTCTTAAGGTAGTTCAGTATGATGTGATTGACTTTCTATATGCAATTTGATCGGATGAGAATTACAGGACTGATTTTTCCAATCTCCACAGACAGGGAAAAATAAAGTAGTGACTGCAGGTTGAAGACAAGTAGTGGAGTAAAAGTACCGATTCAGCACTAAAGATGTACTCAAGGGAAAGTGAAAGTACACATTTTTAAAACTAGTTAATAACTGACAATTTCTGAGAAAAAAAAGTCAATTACTTTTGAGTATTTGTAAATTGTTACTTTACGCCACTGCAGTTGACACTGTTGCCATGTAAATCCACAAAATTTAAGACCACATTTTTTTTTATCATAAAAGTAAATTATACAATGCTGCTGGAAGGGTAGCAGCTGCATTAAAAACAGTATTACCACTAGAGATGAGAAAGATCATTATGTATATAGTTTTTTAAAAATGTAATAAAATTAGCTTATGTTCGAAATTTTACTTAAGGTTGCTGTCCTGGGGGTCAGGTTGCAATCTTCAGATAACTGTGCCATTCACACTCATTACAGCTCTAATATAAACTTTGTTGTTATATTGTTTTTACTGTCTGTTCCATTTTTCTGCAAAACTTTACAGACACTCGTTAAAGATGACATGTGGATTACCAATGATGATGTGCAGTGCCGATGTCACAGGGTCGTTTATGCCCACTGTAGTGAAACACACACAGTCTGTAGAGCCTGTGGACAAGAGCGAAACATGGGAAGGTAAATTAGCACTCACTATCTCGACCGTGCATCTGAATGACATATAAACAGACCACAATAACCACCCTTTTCCGCACACACGTCAGTCACAGCACTATGCAAACACTTACCTGCTGGAATAACACCAATGTGGAGGTCACATGGCTGCAGCATTGCAGTAAGATCATTTTCTGAAACTCCCGCCTCCTGTTGCGTTCGTCCAATCACACCATGAAGCAACTCACTGAACATTCCGTCTCCGCCCACACATATCACTCTGAATAGAAAAAAAAGATATATAATTGTAGACATGAATTGAGCTTCAGAACCTAAATTTTGAGTATTGTCTGTAGGCTTGCTTGAAATATAGTGACACATAGTACTTTAGTGGTATTAATTTTGTATCCAGCAAAATATTTATTTTGTATAATTTATTTTGGAGGAGTGCTTTTGTATGTTTTTTTTTTTTTTTTTTTTTTTTTGCAACAACATTTGGCAACAATGCATTGGCCGCCCTTATTAAACTGACAGGTGGCAATAATAAAAACACAATGAATGAACAGTTCATTGCTAAGCAAACCACATATGCCAAGACAATCACAATGATCATCATAATATTATCTTTATGAAACTCTGTAACATGCTTAAACCAGTGGTATTTAAAGTGGAAGTCATTCCAAGTTTAATAAATAATAATAAATCATAAACATTCATTAAACTTTTATATAAGTCATGTAGAGCAATTGTCGTCATTCGTACTCTAAATGTTTTTTAATAAAAAGTGTTACACATACAGATTGCTGCATGAAACAAATCAATACATACTACATATATTCTATTTTTAATAAACATATATTCTACCATTAATAAAAAAAAAATTTAACAACCCCCAGACCTCACTAATTTCAAAACCCTGGCCGCAGTTATTTTGTGGTCTTTATGCAACACTTATGCTTAAACAACCAAAAAAAAACACAGGGCAGGGCCCATGTCACAAGAATTTTTACAATAACTCTATTGTTATTGCACATTCCTAAATAATTTCTCAGAAGTAATGAACACTGAAGGGTAACTCACCCATCAAACCCTGTTAAGTCTTTCTTTAGGATGTAGTCTCTGGCCTGATTTGCTCGTTCAGTCACTGTAAAACACAAAAAAAAATCTGTAATTTTATTTTGAAGCTTTCTATATGCTTTAAAAAGGGGGAATTATACCCCTTCATTGTGGTTTCTTTTATTTCTTTTTGGCTTGAGCTTTAGTTGTTCTGTTATTTTATTTATTAATTACCCTAACCTGCCTAGTTAATTTAACCTAGTTAAGCCTTTTAATGTCACTTTAAGCTGTATAGAAGTGTGTAACCCTCCCAAAAAGGGCATAAAGTATTCACACACAACACAAGTTCTTTGCTGGACAAAATACAGTATTTATTTTGGGCCACAATAATCAAGTAAACGTCAAACACTCAATTCATTTAAATACTAATTTCACTTTTATTTTATACAATAATCTTAAAGATTAAAATTCCACACAAGGGGAGCAGCAGGTAGGGAATCGAAAGGACATAAAGTTCATGATGTAAAGATTGTTAGCGGACGGCATAAAAATTATTAGGTAAGGCAATTAAAATGACCACCACAAGGCATTTAACAAGGGGTATCAACCGTAATTGTGCAACACATCATCATTTCACATCAACCCAGAGTTGTAATACACCACACCGTAAATCTCATAAATATAAATGTATAAATAACACCCATAAATAGACTCCACACAGCAATCAAATCATAAGCTACCATCAATACCACTCCAGCTAAATATCAAGCCGTCGTCATTTAACATTTCCTTTACGGAGCGTGATGCTAGCCTGCGCTCATCCCCCGTCACACGCACGCGCACACACACACGCACGCACGCACGCACGCACGCACACACACAGACAGACAGAGTACAAGCGCCGGGAGCAATCAAACTCACTCAAACTCCCGGCGAACAAAATGCAATGCACACACAATGACCCCGCAACGGTATAACTGTGCTGCTGGCCCGCTTACCCGCTACCGGACGTGGGATACAGCGATTGGAAATTCAACAGCGGCCGCCGAAACTTTAGTCCGGGGAAACCCCAGCACTACCAACTATCCCTCCCAGTTATTCGCTCGCGCACAACATCATGCCCACGTCCCGGCACGATAGCCTTGGCCAGCGGCTCAGCAGCACCTGCAATCAAAAACCAAGAAAAACCCCTCCTGACCCAGAAACTGCAATCGCTTTTAAAGGCTTGGACTCATTACAAATTGAACTCAGCTGTTCATCTCCTGGAAACGTCATAGACGCAAATGACGCCAGTACGCATCATCCTGGTTTGGGAAGCACCGCTTACAAGTGTCTTGAAAACATCTAGTTAGATATTATTTACTTTCATCATGGCAAAGATAAAATAAATCAGTTATTAGAAATGAGTTAAATGTGTTAAAAAATACATGTATATTATTCGTGAACGTATATTATGTATTTATATATACACTTAACTCAGTCTTTCAGCCCTCTTCCCTAGTCTCGATAAAGATCTAGCAGTGTTACTTGAGAGCCGTATACCTGACATTCACGGTGTATCAGAGAGCATGCAGGGGGACACTTGATAACTGCTCAGTTATTGAACAGGACAGACAGAGTCTCAGTATCTTACCCACAACATGAGAGCTGATGCCAGCCAGCTCAAACAGAGGGGACACTAGAGAGTGAAAGATCTGCTTCCCCCTCTTCTTTCCTCCGAAAGGATTAATGAACACCAACAACCTGTGAGGACGCGAGGGGCCTGACAAAGGAAAAGTAGATGAAGGGAGAGATGTTAATGAGTCATTAGAGAATGGGTCTAGATGGATGACTAAGGGGATTATTTTCAGCTTTACATACTGTGGGTTTTGAGCGCGGTTCGGTGTTGAGTGATCCATTGATCCCGGACGGCCCGGCTAGGACAGCAGAACTGGGTCCTGCCCAGACTCCACGTCAGTCCTTGTGCGTTACCTCTGCTATTGCGATTCACATGGAATACTTGTGATTTGGAGAAACCAAAAACAAGGCTTAGTTTAATTTATAGAAGTTGTATTTGATCTATATGCAAAGAATATCATTCAACATGCCCCTTAAATCAAAATGGTGTAAGTATCAATATGTTAATCTTATAGTTAGCTAGCCCAAAAATAAAAATTCCTTTTAATTGCTCGCCCTCAGATTTTTGGAACACAAATTAATGGTATTCTGGATGAAATTTTAGAGCTTCCTAATCCTCCATAAACAGCAATAATGACAACTTTTTCAAAGTCCAGAATAAACCCCAAAAAACATCCTCAAAACACACCATACGCCTTCACAAGCGCATTCACGAAAGAGCTGAACTCCTACTGTACATGTCGTGCTTGGTTTTACTGCTAACATACACATCGGATGCAATGCCAATGCATTGTGCCAAACAAAAGAAGTTGCATGTGGGCATCCGGAGTATATATCTGTGCACATTGCTTGTTAAAGCACTTCCAGTACTGACACTGAGGAGAATAAACTGTTTAATATGATGAGACATAGTAGCTTTATATTATTCCTGATGAACCACTAACCACATGGCATGTTTTGGTATGTTTCTGGAATTAGAAGGACAATGGAGCATTGATGTATATGAAGGACAAGAGAGATGTCAGATTTAATACAAAAGAACTTTATTTGTGTTCTAATAAGGAATGAAGGGATTTGGAATGAAACAAGGGTGAGTAATTATTGACAGAATCTTTTATCTTGGGTGAATTAACCCTTTCAGGTAATCTATAAGCTCCTGTGCTTCAAAACAATGACACTTTGCATCCAAACTTGATTTTTTTTTCAATTACTCCAAAAATAATCCATCTTATGACTTCAATTGTGAGTCTCATCAGATCTTCTGACCAATGAAATGCTCTCTAGTATCTGAATCGTCCCAACCCTAACAAGATGTGGCTGAAGACACCTGTAATCTAAACTACTTTGCTCTTATTAAGGGCCAGTCCCAACTATAAAATTAACAATAAGGACATTGTTTTGAAAATTGTTCTGAATGTTAAACCACAATAGAACTCAGACCACAGCTGTAATGATAGAGATGTGGAGAAACTATTTTGGCTGACTTTCATAAAGATATTTTTCCAAGCTCATAAAAGCATAAAGCAGAAATAAACAGACTGCTATCATTTGATGGTGTGAACAAGAACAGTTATGATTGTATTTGTAATTATCGTCCTATGTGTGTGTGGCCCTTAGTTGTAACAGTGTGATGACCTAAAAAAATGGGTTAAAACGCACTGTGCACTTGCACACAGTCAGCAAACAGACACGTAAGTCATTCAAAATTAAGTCTGCTACATAACTTTACAACAGCTATTTTATTTTTGTAATCAGACAGTTTAAATAAGCTTGTAAATGTGAAATTAGTCTAGTATCATGTTAATGTCACAAAAACTGCCTCAGCGCAAGTGGATTATATGCGCAAATATACCTCTTATACTTATCATATACTTAAGAATATACTTATCAGACTGATTTGAATTATGCACTGATAGTCTTACAATGGACTGGCTGTCATAAGATGCCAGATGCACTTTTGTTCATGAAATAAAACGCTATTGTTTTTTTAATGCTGTTTAAAATAGAGGAGCTACTTGATATGTCCCACCTTCTCTTTATGTTTTAATTGAAATTACATCACACATCCAACAAAGCTGTGCATTCTGAGGCACTTAAGGGAGCCTTTAAAAAAAACTTACAAGTAAAATCAAGATCAGTGTCTTCTACTTTCTTCTGGGGTTGGATCTCAACTCTGCCTTCCTTCACCCCAATCACCTCTGACACTGGCACTGAAACTGAGAAAGGCATACACTTATCGCTCTTGCATAAGTCATGTACCTGTTTCTCATATTCTCTACAGGCATTCCACCATTCCCACTCAGGCCGTTCGTTCAGTTCAAGGTGTACTGTTTTTATTGTCATGCCTGGACTGTGCCGTTCAACTTGTTTTAAAGTCTTAACAATGCAGACACGTTGCTAGTTAGGAAGGACATTTAAAAATGATATTCATTTGTCAGTTGAGAACTGAGTGACACAGTGATATGCTTTTGATTTATTCCATCATATTCAGCTATATATTAGGTTAAAACAGAAGCTTTATTATAACACAAATTAATTAGTTATCAAGGGAACCATGCATATTTTGGATAGAACAATAAGTGACTTTTTAATTTTTGTCGATAATTATACTAACAGTAGTGGTGCGCCTTGTCAAATGATTACATTATGGTTAATCATCTATAAGTAAGAATAACTTAAGTGAAAGATGCACTCTGTTAGTTTACATTGTATAGCTCTTCTTCCTCCATAAAATAATTAGTGACTGCAAATAAAAAATAAATTTGTTACCTATTAAAATAAATGTTATTGACTTGGCCTCATAGAATTGTAACCCACTGGAACTATTTGCATGACCAGGTTGATTTGGGGGCCCTAAGCAAGTCTAGGTATGGGGCCCTAGCACTGAAACTCAAAACGTTCTCTGTATCTATAGATGCTTTTTTAGATAATTTTTTTTGTAAATAAACTGCATGTAAAAAAAAAAAATTATATATATATATATATATATATATATATATATATATATATAGCATATTTTATATATTTTGATATTTAAAGGAACCTTTATCTTTTCTATGTAAAATTGAATGCAATAAATTAACGTAAAAACTATATACAGTTAATTAGCCATTTTAGTTAGATTTAATATAATTTGTTTAAACTAATTTAATTCACAATCAATCAAACTAATAGTTTCACTATTTTCCATATAAATTGAAGAATTGCTGTTGCTGTCTCATCATGTCACAGGTGTTTCGGACAGAAAGCAATATCGCAGAGATAGCTGTGTTTCATTGTTTGTCTTATTTTTACTTTTGTCCCCCAAAAGTTCTCAAAATCTTGCACACACTATTGCGAGCAGGCCGGCAATGTCTTTAAACTACTCACACCTTGCCTATGTGCAGTACGGAAAGAATGTTCCACTATTCATGGGGGCCCCTGGTTTTGAAAAGAATAAATTTAAAATCTTAACATTTATAGACAGATTTTACAAAATATGACAGAAAATTTACAAAAGAGCTTTTGGTCAGGGGCCCCCTAATTCCCCAGGGCCCTAACCAGCTGCATACATTGCATATTGTGTTCTAGTCTGCCCCTGTGCATGACTGTCAAAAATAACCAATTTTGCAGTTTATTTTTAGCTCAAAAACATTGTTATAATATTCTGGAGCTCTTTTATGGTAAGCTTTATGGTGGTCTTTTTTATTCTACAGTTATATCTCATTTATGACCTGTTAACTACAATTTGAGAACCAACCTGGAATTTTGGATTCTTATTTAAACCAAATAGACAAAAAAGTGATTTTAGAGGCAGATTATTGAAAAACTAAATAAAAAAATTACCACAATCAACAGTTTGACTTGTTGACCATGTTTTTTTTTTTTTTTTTTTTCTTTACCATCTGTTTAAATAAATAACAAAAGTATTGCAACAAAAGGGTATACACGTTATAATTATTATTAAAGTTAGTACGAGTTCATCACCGGCACAGCTGATCATGTGACGTCAACATGTCAGCGCCCATGAGGAGGTGATTTGCTTTTTTTTTTTTTTTTTTTTAAGATCTTTAAAAGTGATATTAATTTCTAATATTAAATTAAATAAATATTATATTCTAAGTAAGTAATGCTAAGTAATGCATATAATCCAACAATTAGCTACTATTCATTATGCATTTAAATAATTGTAGTTACTAATCTACATGTAAGAGTGACTTAAAGTAACACTCGCAGTTAGTAATCTACCTCAGCTCCATTACATCACGTCATGTAGCTTAATTATTTCATATAAGCAACAGGCACACCCATAACGTGACCTTCACTGCACGCTTCAGCTTTTAAAACAAACGTAGAACTACAAACAGGACACCAAAACGTAGAAATTGAACAATCATTCTCGAATGAATGTCGTACTTGTTTTCTTCTCCCGGTTCCCCTTATCGATCTCAGTCCAGCTGAAGTACCATCCGCTCAGGAAAGCCCTGTAGCGCTTATTACCGATCCACAGACTGGATTCTACTCTCACCGAATCCATATCCGTCTCCATCGCTACACTCCGATAGTTTCCATGGGCTATCTGTTGAAGCTCATGGTGCCACAAAGAGCGCTCAGTGTTAGTTAATCCATGCAAAAATTTCGAAGTTTAGTCTCACGTTTAAAGAAACAAATAGACCGTGCTAAAACAAATCAACAAACTTAAGTTAGTTTATCTGATAAGTTTGCCCAACTCCGTCTGCCTCGTTATCTCGTGCGAAGCTTATTTGACTGTTCGTGTTCGTTACTGGGTTTGTCTACAACAACTTCGCTTCTCTTTGAGGCTGCGCACCTGTCCTTGAAAAATTAGCATGCTCAACACTCATTGGCTAAACTTAACATGAATATTCAGGATGTAACAGTAATTCGTTTTTTGTCAACTTTTTTGCCTATTTAAAACTTGACCATAAATGCAATATTTATTTACCCCTGTTTCATTAATTAAGTTAAATTTTTGTCACTGTAAATATGAACGGGGCTAATAAAAATCTATACATGATTATAAAGCAGTGAGGCCCAAGCTAGGACCCGCGGGCCAAAGTCGGGCCTTTTTATCATTTGATTTGGCCCGCCGGAGGGAAAAATTATTGGGAAGGGTTGGGGAATGCCTTTAACAGAGATTCTCATTTCTATTTTAATGTATCCTTTTGTTTATTTGTTGGTTTTATTGTTGAGCGACAAAAAGCAAACTGTAATTAAATGTATTAATTAAATGTTGTAAATGAATCAGATTTTTTTTTTAATGTACATACTATCACAACAAATAGGGGGAAAAGCAGAAGACATCAGCGTGCAAATCAAGGCAAATGCTGGTTCACCATGACTAGTGTATTTAGAATTGAACTCCATTGTTTTATAAGTGGAATTGATGGTATGGTTGTAATAAGCTTGTTAAAAATAATATACATTTTCGAAAACTTATAATGCATTAGTAGATACAATTGAAGTATCTTTATTGAAGTATATATTTTTTTCTATTTATTTTTTATTTTTATGAAATAAATGAGGAAATTACCCATGGTGACCTTAATGTAATATAGTTTGCTATGTTTACTTTCGGCCCACAACTCTCAATTACGCTTGGATGTTGGTCTTTCATAAGAAAAAGTTTAGGCATCCCTGTTATAAAGTTTTATAAATGCTTATTGTAAAGCATACTGCCGAAATGCATAGTTCATGTTTGGATAGCCTGCTGGTAAAACATTAGATGTTTTTTTGTACTGTAAGCTCATCTTTGCATTTTCTTTTTAGTTTTTATTGTCAACATGCAGTTGGTGAGACTGGTATGACCAGACAACATGACAGTTAAAATATTATGAAGTGTCTTTTTCAGTTAGCCTACAAGATGATCAACTCAGATTAGTCTGAAAATACATTTTAAACCTCTGTTGTCAAAAACAAACAAAAGTGTCAATCTTGTTTGACTACATTGAGAACGCCCTACTCAATAAGAAGTAGCTGTTTGTTTCGGTGTTATTATTTCTTAAAGTTGACTTTCCTGAAAAGCTGTTTAACCCGATTGACTGCAAAACCACAATAGTCTCTGAAAATTGCATCTTAAACAGAAATGAATTAATAGTTATTTTAATTGTCTACAGATAATAACATTGGGAAAGTGGGATCTATTGCATGCATCAATAATGACAAACAAACCTAATGTACATTAATTGAGGTGTTGGGCACAAGAATATGTATAACTTCTCCCATAAAGAAAGTGTACCATAGTGTTTGCTAATATACACTTACTGGCCGCTATATTAGGTACAACTTGCCAGTAGTTGGACCCTTTTCACATTGAAAACAGCTTAAATTCTTCATAGTAGATTCAACAAAGTGCTGGAAACATTGTTTTGACATTTTGGTTCATATTGGCTTGATAGCATCACACAGTTGCTGCAGATTTATTAGCTGTACATGCTTGAAGCTGTTTACTTTGAGTGAACCCGTATTGGGGACATGGTGTTTCCCAGTTCTGGGTTGCAACTGGAAGGGCATCCGCTGTGTAAAATATAAATGAATGAATGGACTCATGTTCAAGGGACCAGGTTAAGACAATATGAGCTTTATGATATGGAGGGTTATTCTGTTAGAAGTAGCCACCACAAGATGGATAAACCGGGATTATAGTGGGATTGATATGGGCAGCAATACTGTTTAAACAATGGTCAATTTATACTGGGGGCCTAAAGTGTTTCAAGAAAATACGCCACACCTTTACTGTGCAAAATATTTTTTTACTTTTTAAATGTCTCATTTCTAATGCACATTTAAAAAAAAAAAACTTAAATCAAGCAATATTTCCTGAAGAATATTTAGAATTCAGAAAAATAATGTAAAATTATAAGATCATTTTCTTCTTTAAAGGAAAAACTTGCTTAATTTTGGTTCTCAATCATTTTAATACATTTTACAAAATGCTTCTAGATTTAAGATTTTGTTAACGTATTTGGACTAGAAAAGACAAAGCCTCCTAAATAAGATTTTTATTTTTTTGCACAACCAGCAACCTGTACACTTACAAGTTTTGACGGATTTCTGTTTTATTTTTCATGCTTGCAAAACAAATTCTGACTATCAAAATGTTGCTGCAGAAATTGAGACCTTTTTCCATTATCTTGTCCCAGTTTGGTAGGGGTGTGAGACATGTGGCTATATAGTTTTCTTTGTTGTCAGCTGTCAGACGTGGCAGCGGTGTGTCCTGCTGCTGTGGCAGGTTGGAAGTGTGTTGTGTGTTCAAATATGACCTTGATTCTATAGATTGATTATACGAGTCGTTGTTGCCCCATCAGCTGAGCCAACAAGCCGTTTTTGCAGACACAGAACTTCCATTCACTGCATATTTTCCCTTTTTAGTATAATTCTCTGTAAACCTTATGAATGAAGTAGATAAGCAGTTTCTCAAATTCTCTGACCATTTTGCGCCAGCAAATAAGCACATTCAAAGTCACTCAAATCACCTGCTTAGTTTAATCTTCAGTGATTTGTTCAATCAAATATGAAAAATATTCACTATTTACTAACTTTAATAAATAGTTCAGCCAAAAATTATAATTGACTCTCTCATTGGTAAATTTTAAATGGACTACAGAAGTAGGAAAAACAAAAACCATGGAGGTCAGTGCTTACAAGTTTTCAGCATTCTTCAAAATATCTTCTTTTGTGTTTAACGCAAGAAACTCATAAAGGTTTGAAACAAGCAAAGGGTGAGTAAATGATGACAGAATTTCTATTTTTGAGTGAACTATCTGTAAGGTGATGCTGTCTACATGCCTAAATGCAGTCGCTGCCTGTGATTGGCTGGTCAGATATAGCAGTTAAACTGGTGTACCTAGTCAAGTTACCAGGTTCAAGTACATCTTCCAGTCCAAACCAATGATAACCAAGTCCGCTGAAAAGGAAATGAAACGTAGTCCCTTCGCCCAATCTCTCAAATGGAAAGGTTCCCCTTCTTTGATATTTATGCATAGCCTACACACCCTTGTAGATACAATATAAGTAATAAAATAGACAACTAACTGACTTTTTGCACAACAAATCACATTTCCAAGTGCCTTTGTCAGATGTGGCGTGACTGACGTTCTGTTCATTTATTTAATATGTGAAGTGCTGTCAGACGCTTAACTGTTGCAGCGGTGTTTGGGTTGTCATTTATGTATTCCAAGACCAATGGATAGTTCAGGGGTGTCTACACTCGGTCCTGGAGGGCCAGTGACCTGGAAAGTTTAGCTCTTACCCTAACACAAACACGCATCCAGATATTGCCTAAACCAGCTAATCAAGCTCTTACTAGATATACTAATAACGTCCTGGCAGGTGTGTTGAAGCAAGTTGGAGCTAAACCCAGCAGGACACCGGCCCTTCAAGATCGAGTTTGGACACCACTGGCATAGTTACTATGTTATGAAGCGGGTTTCGAGAACCGAGAAAACTTACAAAAGTAGCCTAGAAACCCAAAACGTAATATTTTCCCTGCAAATGCATTTTCAAAAGAGCTCGATTATGAAAGCTGCGACCCTGGCAACACTGAACATGTACCATGTTTATGAACAGTTACTTGTAACCTCCAGCAGGTGGAGACAATGCATTAGATATGCATGTGCAAGGCTTGTAATAAAGATAATTACACCTGATACTGGGTTTACTAACATTTAACAAAGTAAAAAAAAAAGATTATTCAAAATTGTATGGTTTGCTCTGTTCCAATTATAATATAATAAATATGAGATCGTTCATCTTTTAGGCATCCCTTTCAAGCTGTCATTTTATCAGCTTGCCAATAAATGCTTCAGATTTAATCCAAAAGGAATGTAGCATGAATGACTTGATCACAATCAGCCACACTGTCGAATGTGACAATCTGACACCATCTATTTTGTGCTGAAAGAAACCCGCTTACATCTGCATTCAGAACATTTCCACAGATACAGCGAAGCATCTTGGCAGCTTTTTTTCCATAATCATTCTCTTACAGTCTTGTTTTGGAGTTGCTAGAGGAAATCCAGCTGGGCAGATGAAGTCTAAATTGAAAGCAGCTGCTCTAAAACTCAATGCAAGACAGAGGCATACTTTGTCCCAGTTATGGATGAGACTGGGCATGTAAACAGACCCTGTGCAGATGCCCATGTGATATTGGATGAAGAATGTTCTGAATAAGTGAGCGTAAAGTGATAAGCAGGCATGTCTGTTTTTATTACCCTTTTTTAAGTAATAGTAGAATAACTGTATCTTACATTTTCTGGACGTATTTGAATGGGATGTTACAGTATTAAATGTGCTTTGATTAGGATGTTTCAATAGATCAAAGATAAGCAGTCTTGAACCATCACTAATGGCTTCACAGATTTTTTTTTTCTCCAGGGATCAGTGTTATCCATGAAGGTTAAGATTTTGAAAGCTGTGCAGAGGAGGCTAGATTGCAATGGGAAATGTGAAAAATATTTGAACTGAACAAATATGATGTAATTGCAATTCAGATTGTTATCTGCCAGATTTGTGGCCCAAACTATAAAAATGACCAGCTGACATGGCCATCTTCAGCAGAGAGTTTTCAGAGCTTCATGTTTTGCGTCATTAGGTGGTGCTGCTGTCACAAAATGATCTAAACCAGAGCATATTTAGTTGGGGACTTTTTGAGCCTGCCTTCAGTACTGTGCTGTGTTTAATTAAAGCAATAAAGTTTATTTGATAAGGTTTGATTGGTTTCACAAATGTAATTTCACAAATAGTAGTTTTTCAATTGATTTGAAAATCATCATGCTTACATACAAGGCCTTGAATGGTCTAACACCACAATATTTATCTGAGCATTTAATTCCATACACTCCTAGACGTCCTTTATGCTTGACTGATGCTGGTCTTTTAACTGCTCAGTCAATGCGGCTATAATCTATAGGAGACTGGGCATTTTCTTTATTGGCACCTAGATTGTGGAACTCTTTACCCTCTGATATTTGCAATGCAGAATCCCTAAGTATTTTTAAATAATTTAGGGTAGCTTTTATAAGATGGACTTTTAAATGATTTTTAGATCTATTAGTATTATTTTATTTGTTGTTAATTATTTTCATGATTACATTTTTTGCATTCATCCTTGTGTCTTTTACTGCTGCACATTTTATGTCTGTAAAGTGCCTTGAGATGCTACTTTTAAAGGTGCAATAAACATAATTCTATTCAATTCAACTCGTTTTTATTTATATAATGCTTCTACAATGTAAATTGTGTCAAAGCAGCTTAACATAGAAATTCTAGTAAATTGAAACTGTCAGTCCAGTTTTCAGAGTTACATTCAGTTTAGTTCAGTTTATTGTGTATTATTTTTACTGCTGAAAGTAAAACACTGATGGCAAAGCTATCGATGCGCAGCTCCACAAGTCCCAACCAAGCAAGCCAGTGGCAACAGTGGCGAGGAAAAAACTTCACCAATTGATGAAAGTGAAGGAAAAAATCTTGAAAGAAACCAGGGGCCAGATGGGCACAATCATTTCTCTTCTGGCCAAACTTCTTGTGCAGAGCTGCAGTCTAGGTGCCGGAGGCTGAAGAATGCTGTATGTCCATCGTGGAGAACTGCAGGTGTGAGTAGGTCACCGGCAGGTGTTCAGGCTGGCCCACGGGATCAATGCGGAAACTCGTCTGTCACTGGGGTCTTTTAGGAATCAGTCTCACACTCTCCGCTCCTCCATGACTGCCACAGCATCAGCTCAGGACACGACCAGATCCAGGATTATGGATACCTTGGCAAGTAAAGTTTATTATTATTATTATTATTATTATAAACTTGCCTTGCCTATTATTATCAAAACAATCACCAGTGCACTGTAAGAGCCACCGAAAATTGTCAATAGGGGCTATTGTATAATAAAACAATCTTATTTTTAAATTTGTATCTCATGAGCCATAAACTTAGGGCTATTTTTGATCATTTGTCATTGTTTTTTTTCTTCTTAATCATTTTAATATTGTTTGAATATTTCTTAATCATTTAATTTCACTATCACAACAGTATGTTGGGCAAAATATAATCTCATTTCACCTGCATTCTCTCCAAATGTAAAAAATCATGAAGTTTTTGTAATTTAATACTTACCAATGTTGCTTTTAAAAAATATTTATACAACAAACATTACAGAATTTAGTTTTAAAATCAGTTTTGCATATTTATTGAAGGAATAGTTCACCACCTTGTGTTGTTTACTTCTCAGGTGATTTCAAGTCTTTAAGTTTTGATGAAATTTTTGATGAACACAAAAGAAGATATTTTGAAGAATGTCGGAAACCGGTAGCCAATGTCATCTGTAATAGAAAAAAAGATGTGAAAGTTAATGGCTACTGCTTTTCAACATTTTACGAAAATTAAAACAGGTTTGGAACATGTGGAGGGAGAATTCATGACACTTTTGTGTGAACTATCCCTTTAATATTTGCTCATTTTCATTCTTTTTTTTTCCGGCTTAGTCCTTTTAATAATTAGGGGTTGCCAGTGGAATGAACCACCAACTCATCCAGCATAGGTTTTACACAGCGGATGCCCTTCCAGCCCCAACCCAACACCAGGAAACACCCATACAATTCACACACATACACTACGGCCAATTTAGCTTATTCAACTCAACTATAGCGCATGACTTTAGACTTGTGGGGGAAACCAAAGGAAACCCACACAAACACTGGGAGAACTTGCAAACTCCACACAGAAATGCCTACTGACCCAGCCGAGGCTCGAACCAGCGATTCTTGCTGAGAGGCGACAGTACAATACGAACTGCACCACCGTGCCACACTTGTTTTAATATCAAATTTGCATTTTTATTGAAAAAATAGGTTACCTCCTGTGTTATTTACTTATCATCAGGTGGTTCCAAACGTTTACAAGTTCAATTTTGATTAACACATAAGAAGACATTTTGAAGAATGTTGGAAACCTGTAGCCAATGTCATACGTAGTAGGAAAAAAAGATATAGAAATCAATGGCTACTGTTTTTTTTCCAGGGTTTTACAAAAATTTTAACTGGTTTGGAACATATGGAGGCAGAATTTATGACCTTTTGGTTTTGTGTGTGAACTATTCCTTTAAAAATGCTTACTTTAAAATATTCATTACAGCCTGATTTATTTGTAACGAGTTTATTTCAATATTTTAAATACTTTTATCAAGTGAAAGTGTAAAAATATGTTGTGTATTTTCAATGAAACTTACATTATTATTAGTTTTTCTCATGTGCAATATTTTCCATTAGCTATTAGAGGTGTTTTCCAGCTGCAAGCTCCTGCTCTCTGAATTCCATTCCGCCTTTTACGCCACGCTCTGATAGGATAGGCTGTGTCTCAAATCATACTATATGCTGCCTATCTAGACAAAAGATTTGGGCGTCATAGTTTTCGGCATCCCGGGTTACTTTCCGCATCAGCAGAGCGCAGCCCAAACATGCTGCCTACATAGGCGGCTCATCAGGATTTGAGAAACGACTGTCGTCAACACTTCAACATCACCGCACTGAAGTGATCCGCTAAGCAGTGCATGCTGAACTTTCTGCTGTTCATTGGAAAGTGGGACCAAGAGAACAAAACGGATATTCACAAGTCAGCCTTCAGTTTCTTTTCGTTTTATCGCACACGGACTCAGCAGCACGCGGTTTTCCTTCTTTTTTGGTCAATGAAGTCCCACCAAGTGTGGGACGGAGAAGCGACGGCGGCCTTGCATTAGAAGAAACGCTCCAAACTTTTGCGAATTAATTTCTGAGCGGCTTGAAGTGACGGACTTTGATTTTCCCAGCGGCGTGTTTGGAGTCGAGCTGGGTTGGCAGAAATGGGGGCGAGGATACGTGCCCATAAATTCACTCTGTTTATCCTCCCTTTGGTATTTACGTCGCATCTGTTTAATGTAAGTGAATCATTTTATGAAGTTATTATATCACACAAGCCTGCCCTTTGCAACAGGTAGCCTAACGGTGGAAATTAAGGCGCACGCAGAAAGTCACTTTAGCAAAAAGTTTGTGTCGTAACCCAGTCTATCCATTTTAATGCTCTTCTTTTTGTAGCATTTAAATAAGACGCGAATGTGGAGATTAAGTTGCATTGATCTCCCACACGCATAGCCTATCTACAGCTCATCTCAAGTGCTGCATGTGTGTTCTAGTCCTGGTCTAATTTTATCCATAGAAACGAGCTATTCATAGTTGGTCTCACTGGCGTCTTGCTTGTCAGTTTGATCAACGTTATTTCTTTTACTGATTTAGAGCACTTTCACTGTACACAAAGTTTTGCTTGGTAATGCTTATTATGGATCAAATGTTTATTCAGATATCATATACTGTCATTTATTTTTCCTGTGCAATCTTGCACATTACTTTATATTACTATAAATAATTTTTGATGTTATTATGTAAAAGTTACACAATCTTGTTGTTTATCATGGTTGCAAGTAAAAAAGGAAGCGTTTTATCTTTATTGTGGGTGGTGTGATTTAACCCTATTCTGTGATTGCTTCCTTTTCTTACGCTGTCATGATTAAAGAAATGCATTTATTTTATCGCCTATGCTTTTTAGGCAGCACATAAAAGCACAGCTTTTGCATACACTTTCAAAAAGATTGACTGATTGAAAGTTATTGCTTTAGCATAAAAGTGTACATGAAATAAATGGTTCAACCCAAAATGAACATTTAAGTTGCCTTGCTCTTTATTTTTCCACATGTAGTTTTAAACCTTTGTTAGTTTCTTCTGTGAAACAATAAAGCAGATATTTTGAAGAATGCTGGTTGCTGGCACCACTCAACTTCCATAGTAGGGGAATAATGCAGTGTAAGTCAATATGTTTTTTTTTTTCAATTAAATTTCAATTAATGAATTTTTCAATCATTTTTTATTTTTAAAGATTGTCTTTTGTCTTCAACTGATAATGACTTTCAAATAGGTTTGGAACAAGGGAAGTGTGGCTAAATAATGGGGAAATGTCATATGGGTGAACTCTTGAGCTTAACATTACAACAAGGTTTAATCTGAAACCTTGATCAGACATATCTTCAGTTAAACAGTTGTAAATGTGAAAAATAAACACCTTATATGTTTTCAGCTAAACATATAATAAACATCCTAAGCCTTATAAACATCCCAAGGACCTGTAATACAGTAACACTTTCTTCCTGCTGGTAGATTTATTTTGACTTTGCTCATGTATAGATATAGTTCTTGCAGATGTGTTCATACTTCTTTCTTTCTTTCGTTCTGGACTCTGGACCATAAAGAACAAATAGAACCAAGAAAATTGCGAACATTTCTTGTGATAATTGTTTTTGTAGTCAATCTATTGAAATAGCTCATGGAATTTCCTAAAAAATAGAAAGTAAATACAGTTTTAAGGTGTGTGCTGCATTATTTTGCGTTAGGATAATATTGTTGGTTAAGATTTTATTCAATTTAAAGCTAATTTCAATTTGATTGAACTTTTAGTTTAAGTGTGAATGGTGTCATTCGAACCTTGGTGCGCATCAAACAAGCAGATCAAAGTTGAGGTTTGGTCAAACAAATTCTGGTGTGGATTGACTGAAATATGAATACATCCTGGAAAAAACAAAACAAAACATGTATTGACCGTAAAAAATATGTAACGCTTAACCTTACCTTTTTGTCACAGTTGCAAAGTTGCCAATTAAAGTTGTATATTTGTATTAAAAAATGCATCTAGATTTGTTTGTGTGAGTAATAAACCTTTTAGTTGTCAACTATTTAAAAAAAAAAAACCTTTTACATCCATGCATACAAAGCATTTATCCAAATTAAGTTCAGTCACAAAATATACATCAAGTCAATTTGATTGAATCTTTAGGCTTGATTTTAACAAGAGTGTTTGTGAATGTGTGTGAATGCAAACCAGGACTAACACTTCCATTTTCTATTTTGATCCAGACTAAAGAACCTATAGTACCAAAAAACAAATGTAAATACTTATGTATTTATCTTTTACTAATTGAAATACCACCATCAGCTTCAATTTATTTAGGAAGTGTCTTAGCAAACTGCACATTTACCTCCCACCATACATTTTTGTATCTAGTTAGCTGAAATTAGCAATGCCTCAAAACACCTTTGATGTCAAATCCTCCTAAAATCCTCAGGATCACATGCTAACGGAAAGTCTTGTCATGTATAACTTCAGATTCTTTAAATCGCCTTGCGTTCATCCTGCATACCACGTATAATCCCTCTCTTATCGTTCATACACAAGTGAACACAAGCCTCTCTCGGTTTACTGATGTGTAACAGGGGCCTGAAGTCTTTGGTAATTTGAGATCTTTGCTGTTTTGTGTCTCAGAAACCACTGTGTCAATTGCAGAGTAATTGAATTAAATGGAATCTTCGCCATATGTCCATATGTTTTTTCCATTACAAAGCTCCCTAGCATTTTACAAAGAGTTCATTTGATTCGGTTGAGCACTTGGGGCTTCAGTTGCCATCGGCATCCCTGGTGTCCTACTGGAATTTCAGGGTCATAAGTATCAATCAGTGCTGACAAAACCCCAATAGAAGCACTTTATTACCTTTTAGTTTACTGACACAATCAAGTGTCCCCACCCTGCTGTTAACTATCAATGACCCGGTAATTGACAGACGATTCTTTGCGATTTATTGACGCATGTAATTTTTGGGTTAAACTGGCTACTTGTGAGGTCGTTGAAGTTTTGTGTAATGATAAAGGTTTGTAAGTGGATTCACGCCCAGTTGCCCCCTTATGCTTTTAGCTTGTTTGACCTTAATTTGGGTTCAAGGAAAAAACCAGGAAACTCCTTTGAGAGGTTTAGACCTACGGTTATAGATTAACAAATTTTCATATACCTAAGGAAATCAAGCTTCTTGTGAATTTTAGTTTTGTTGTAGTTTATACAAAAGTCATAAAAATACAAAAAGGGAAAATTACATTTTTGCAAGTTTTTGGTAATTTTTTTCTTGTTTTATAAAGAAATTAAAATGTTTTTGTAATTTTTTGTACTACATTTTTTTGTACAGTTTTTTTGTACAGGTTTTTTACTACATTGACTTTTTATTCCTAAAATTATCTTTTTTTTAATACAACATTTGTAAGTCAATTATATTAATTTTTGGTCCAAACTATTCCCTTTTAAGTAGTTAGTTATGATTAGCTCTGTAAACCCATGTTAAGTATTATTTTGACTAATTGAACCCTTTAAAGTATTAGTGCTTTGTGCCATGATATCCAGCATTGTGACATGCTATATTATTTTGAGATGTCCCAGATTAGATTGTCACAACTGTAAAACCCAGCAGTCAACTTTATCAAATGAAATGAGTGTAGTTAACTCAAAATTGACTGAAAGTTAATTCTACTCATTTGAAAAGAGTTTTGACCTAAGTGTTGAAGGTAAAGAGGTAATTAAATAGCTCATTACTTAACTTAATTTTTCATATAGATTACTTTTTAACTCGAATAGTTTATTTTATTTGGTGTCCTCAAACTGTTTGAGTTGCCTTATTGGGTTTTACAGTACTCCGTTGATTTTGAGTTCTCTTCATTTAAATTCAAATTGCTTCTTTTACTTAAATGGATTAAGTTCACAGTACTCATTAGGATTAGTTTTTGAACTTAAATGGTTTGTTGCAACCGGTTTCCTCAAACAGTTTGAGTTACCATAAATTTTTGGGTTTTACAGTGTATACCCTGACTTCATTTGTGGAGGATTTTGAAGTGTTAAGACCAGGTGAACAAAGAATATTAGATGTAAAGTTCTGAATTTGCCAGAAGCTTTTACCTAAAAAGATTTGTTTATGATTGCACTGATTCCTTGTAAACTGACCGTGTAACCCTGGTTGGAAGTTCCAGTCATTTACTTGTGTTAAAGCTGGAATGTATTTAAATGTTATAACTTGTTTATACATATTTCTAATGAAAAAAATATTGATCAGTACTTCCTAGGCGAAATCTGATCAATTTGAAACCTACCGTAATATGCTGACTAAATATTTTTTTGTCAAAACTATCTTTTTAAAGGTTGGTATTATTAGTATGTTTTTTGACTCTTTAAACCATTTTAAGTGTTAGTGCTTTGTCCATTGATATCAGCATTGTGACATGTAGGGCTGTGCGATTAATCAAAATCGAATCGCAATTTGAAACATTACAATTAGCTAATCGCAAGAGACTGCAATAAATATGTATTATATAATTTCCCCCACCCAGAGCAAATGCGTGACTGTCGTCTGTGTGTGACCGTCTTACTAGCCAATTGATTGAGTTCACTTTTGTTTTGCCCAATCAGAATTGTGCAACTGAACTATGCGGAAAGCCCTTAATAAAACAAACAAACAGGAAAGCGCGGACAAATGAGATGATGGCGTATGCCGCTTCAGAAGCATTAATAGACAAATTCAAATCAAAGAAAAACAGCATGTTGGTAATATGGGAATGTTTTGGTTTTAAAGTCATAGACACCGCACAAAAACTGGTCATTTGTAAGAGCTATCGCAGAATTGTTGCAACAGCACGAGGAAATACAACATCCAGCACCTATAAAAGCATCACAGGCACTAGGTGATAACTAATGAGTTATAACTAATGGTATAACTCACTATTGTTTACTTTAGAGAAAAAGTTAGCAAATTTTAATAAACGTTGGAGTAAGTTAATATCTTAACAGTTGTTGTTTTTTTTTTACTAACACACTTTTTACACACTTCTGCATTTTAGCAGTAAGAAGCTACCATACAGACTATTGAGCTGAAGCTTGAATTCAAAATTAGATCGCAAATCGAATCGAAATTGCAATATCTGTTAAAACAAATTGCAATTAGATATTTTCTCAAATCGCACAGCCCTAGTGACATGCTATACTATTCTAAGATGTTTCTCAGATCATCACAAGTACACACT